GGGTGCTAATAAATTCATCTGCTAATATAGATGGGAGGGAACCATTTTACAGCACCTTTACAGAGCTTTTTCACCAGTGGTGCTGAATATAGTAGCTGAGGGGAGGAGATGGTGTTCTGGTCAGAGTGTGCTTTTATGGAGTGGGGATTATAGAAGGGATAAATATCTAGGAGGGGTAGCTGGAAAGAACAAGTGTTAGATCCAAGTTCTTCACCCTAGTCCAGTACCTGACTTGCCGAAGAATAAATTATCCTTCTCCTATAAGTTAGGACCTGATGCCAAACCCGTTGAAGTAAATGGAAAGACACCTACTGATTTCCATGTGTTCTGGATCAGGCCAATAACATTTAAGTAATCAAAAATCTTGAGTCATTACATAGCTGTGGTACATTACACTATTGCACGCATCTCTTTGCATGCAAAGAGCCTTTGAAATGTCTGCCTGTAGAACAAATACATAAAATAGGAGGACTTAATGGAAGTTACAGTAAAACTACACCTGTACACAGTTAACTGATAAACAAGGGCTTGTCATTTAACCTTTACAGCTGTAGGGTTGCCAGGTGTCCGGTATTGTACCGGACAGTCTGGTATTTGAGCGCTCTGGTAAAAAAAAATAAAAAATCAGAAAATATCGGACATATGCAATGTCTGTTTTTTTTCTGGCTGTGCACCGGATGGAAGCCTGGCGTGGGCGGAGGGAGCGGATGGGAGTTCCAGCTGGGGAGTGGGGCCACGATTGCTGCTGGGAGCTCTCAGCTGAGTGTGAGGAGGGGAAGCCACGGGTTGGTGCCGCGAGCCCAAGACACACACGGGTGGAATGACCCTGCGCCTCTAGGCCCTCCTTCCCCACCCGTTCCTGGGAAGGAACTCTCGAGACACCAGAAACGTGCACCCACCTCTGTCGCCTGTGCCACAGACACGGCCAATTCTGTGCGTGTGTCGGGGTCTCTTCCCAGATGTGGAAGAGCAGTTTGCTGTGCGGCAGGAGGGCCATGCAGAGCCTGGCATGGCAGTCTTAGAGCAGCCATGACCCAGGCAGCAGCATTTAGCTGGTGGCAGCACAGGGCTAGGTATGGGGGGGGGCGAGGCTAGTGCTGGGGGGCTGTAAGAGGCAGGGGGCTGGCACTGGGGAGTTCTGGGGGTGGGGCTAGTAGTTGGGAGGTATGAGGGCAGGGCTGGCACTGAGGACTCTGGCGATGGGGTTAATATGGGGGCTGGCTTTGGGGGGAGTCTCTGGGAGGAGTTGGGTTCAGTGGGGTTCTGAAAACAGGAGGCTGGTAGGGGGGCTGGCACTGGGGAGGCTTTGAGGAGTGGCTGGCACTGGGGGGGTTGGTGCAGGGGACTCAGTTCAGTGGCTGGTAGTGGAGGGGTGCAGGGCTCTAGGGATTAGGGTTGGCACTGGAGGGCTTTGGAGACCAGGACTCTTGATGGACAGGCAACATTTTATTTGCATACTTGTATATTCATTATTTGTGTAATGAATATGCAAATGTGCAAATAAAATTATGCCGGTTTGTGAATAGATTTGCCAGTCTCTGGTATAAAAAAAAGGTTGGGAACCACTGCAGTAGGGGACTGGCTCCAGTACCCCCGGGGTGGTGTGCTTGTACCGCCCAGTTTCTTCTTGCCACCAGTGATGGTGCTTGGAACTGCGAGCTCCAATTTCTGCTGTCATTTTATCTTAATGATCCTTACTCAGCTGTAAACGGCTTCTCTCTGTTTACGAAATTGTAAATAGTTGTAGATTAGCAATGAGACCTCAGCCTGGTCCTATCCAGGCTGACAGGCCCCGAAGCATCAACCTGAAGCTAAATGACCACAATAGCGTTTAGCCCACAGAGTATGTCTACACTTGCACCCTCTTTCGAGAGAGGGATGCAAATGAAGACATTCAAAATTGCAAATGAAGCTGGGATTTAAATATCCTGTGCTTCATTTGCATATTTGCGTTATGGTGCTATTTTGAAATAGCAGATGCTATTAAGACGCGGTTATTTCAAGAGAAAACCTTTCTCTCAAAATAACTGGTAAACCTCATTGTATGAGGAATAAGGGTTATTTCGAGAGAAGGGTTTTCTCTTTAAATAACCTTATCTCTTAGCCTCTTGAAAGAGGGTGCAAGTGTAGACATACCCACAGCCCAAGTCCCGCAAGCCCAAGTCACTTGACCCGAGCTTTGAAGCTCAGTGCAGTGTCTTTGTACCCTGAGATTACTTAACGTGTCGCTGAACTCT